GACGTGACCTCAACAAGACAAGCGTATTCGGTTGGTGCATCTGGGGAATCGATACCAAACTGCCACATTAACAGCTCGGACAATTCATGGGTTGTGACCAATTAGTGGCAGAACCGAACGCAACAGGTTAAGGGAGCACAACATCCGGCCCCGACTTCAAGCGATCAAGCTTTCCACGTAACGGCCAGGTACGCTAGCTTGGTGTAGACAGCATCTGATGGTCAGAAGACAAGACTGGGACAGAATACGGTTCACAGATGAGTGCAGGTTTCTTCCGGACAACTCTGATTGTCGTCCTAGGGTCTACAGGCGCCCAGAAGAACGTTTTAGCTTCGCGTGCGTTACTCAACGTCGTTTGGGTCGTACAGGGTTTGCCTGACCCATCTTCTATGGATATGTCGTTATATCATCCCTCAATCCGATATTATATCGGAGTAAAATATAATTATTATATTTTATAAAGGTTATGATTTAAATGTGATTGCATTCTGTTTTAAGGCAGTTATTTTATTTTTTAACAATGATTGTAACTGTGTTTGTGTTGAGATTCAGTAGACGCTCATTGCATTGATTTAGGACAGTGGTTAGTCGTCAGGAATGTTGTGCTATTTAATGTGATCAGTCGCCGATACTAGTGTGGTCTGTAAACATCCGGTCCGTAATACCGCTGCAGCTGACGGTGATTGTTTGTTATGGAAACACGTGGAATGTTCTTTGTTGTGAGGGCACGGTGTAGAAATTTCTAGTTGCTAGGTAGGTTGTATATAAGGAGACAAGATCCCTCGCGGATCTCTCCGCGTCAAGACCTGCTTTCATGTGAGGGTCACTCATCATCCCTGATTCCCTGCCTAGCCAATTTCGGAAGCTTGACTACTGTCGCGGCTGGGTGAATATATATCATTATCACTGACTTTTGCTATCAGCACTGTATTTTTGTATTTGATACTAAGCACTACCATCGTATGTGCTAATATTGCCATTGAATATTGTACTACCACTCTATTGTGTACTGCCATTGTAATTGCTGTGCAGTACTTTGTGTTGATTTGTTAACCTCGTTAAGTTTGTAATACATTTGTTGATTGTGTACCACTTGTTTTTTTGTTGGTTTTACACTAAGTTCTTTTACGTATAGATTTCTGGGTTAAAATAGTGTTTCAATTTGGGAATCGACACGTAACAATTCGAATATGCTATATACGATTAAATGAAACTTGTTTCCTTGACTATGTCAACTCAGAAAATATACATGTTAAACCAATAGACCATGTTACCTTTTTCAGGAATGATAGTTTATTTGTTTGTCCAGCGAATTGAAGAAGTACGTTTTATCGAAATGGTGCCCACCCATTTTGTAGCATCAAACGGTAATCAGTAACCAACTGTGTTCGCTATAATACAGTTTGATATGACTGTCATTAGTTTCTACTAAAGACATATCTTACCTATACAGTAACTTTTTTGTTTGTTGTTTAACGCCGCACCCAGCAATATTCCAGCTATATTGAGTGAGTTTGGTTTTACGCCGCTTTTAGCAATATTCTAGCAATATAACGGTGGTGTGGAAATAATCGCGTCTGGACCAGACAATACAGTGATTGGCATCACGAGCATCGACCTACGCAGTTGGGAAACGATGAGATGTATCAACCAAGTCAGCGAGCACAGTCGCCTTTTACGGCAAGCATGGGTTGCGGAAGACCTATTCTAACCCGTATCTTCACGGGGAGACAAGCATGGGTTGCGGAAGACCTATTCTAACCCGTATCTTCACGGGGAGACAAGCATGGGTTGCGGAAGACCTATTCTAACCCGTATCTTCACGGGGAGACAAGCATGGGTTGCGGAAGACCTATTCTAACCCGTATCTTCACGGGTCTCCAATGTCTGTGAAGGAGCTTAAGTCACACGTTTGAAAAACAATTACGCGGATCGATCATGCCCAGAGACGTTAAAAATGGTACTTGCTGTTTCCCTGCCTGATGTTTGGCATTGCAGCTCGGCATTATCCTTGTTAAACCGTAGCATGGCATCTCCGTGTGCAAGCATCATTAAACCGACACAGTACAGTAGTACAACATTAGAGACGGGGTACAGTAGTACAACAATAGAGAAGGGTACAGTAGTACAACATTAGAGACGTGTACAGTGATACAACATTAGAGACGGGGTACAGTAGTACAACATTAGAGACGGGGTACAGTAGTACAACATTAGAGACGTGTACAGTGATACAACATTAGAGACGGGATACAGTAGTACAACATTAGAGACGGGGTACAGTAGTACAACATTAGAGGGATGGGTGGGATGACAACCAATACAGCCAGGGTGTGATGACACACCAATACAACCTTGGTGTGATGACAACCAAATACGGCCTGGGTGCGATGACAACCCAATACGGCCTGGGTGCGATGACAACCCAATACAATCATGGTTTGATGACACACCAATACGGCCTGGGTGCGATGACACACCAATACAGCCTGGGTGCGATGACAACCCAATACAGCCTGGGTGGGACAACCAAATACAGCCTGGGTGCGATGACAACCCAATACAGCCTGGGTGCGATGACACACCAATACAGCCAGGGTGTGATGACACACCAATACGGCCAGGATGTGATGACACACCAATACAGCCAGGGTGTGATGACACACCAATACAGCCAGGGTGTGATGAAACCCCAATACGGCCAGGATGTGATGACACACCAATACAGCCAGGGTGTGATGACACACCAATACAGCCAGGGTGTGATGACACACCAATACAGCCAGGGTATGATGACACACCAATACGGCCAGCGTGTGATGACACACCAATACAGCCTGGGTGGGATGACAACCAATACAGCCATGGTGTGATGACACACCAATACAGCCAGGGTGTGATGACACCCCAATACGGCCAGGATGTGATGACACACCAATACAGCCTGGGTGGGATGACAACCAATACAGCCATGGTGTGATGACACACCAATACAGCCAGGGTGTGATGACACACCAATACAGCCAGGGTGTAATGACACCCCAATACGGCCAGGGTGTGATGACACCCCAATACGGCCAGGATGTGATGACACACCAATACAGCCTGGGTGGGATGACACCCAATACAGCCAGGGTGTGATGAAACACCAATACAGCCAGGGTGTGATGACACACCAATACAGCCAGGGTGTGATGACACACCAATACAGCCAGGGTGTGATGACACACCAATACAGCCAGGGTGTGATGACACACCAATACAGCCTGGGTGGGATGACAACCAATACAGCCAGGGTGTGATGACACACCAATATGGCCAGGGTGTGATGACACACCAATACAGCCAGGGTGTGATGACACACCAATACAGCCAGGGTGTGATGACACACCAATACAGCCAGGGTGTGATGACACACCAATACAGCCAGGGTGTGATGACACACCAATACAGCCTGGGTGAGATGACAACCAAATACAGCCATGGTGTGATGACACACCAATACAGCCTGGGTGCGATGACACGCCAATACAGCCATGGTGTGATGACACACCAAGACGACCTGAGTGCGATGACAACCCAATACAGCCTGGGTGCGATGACAACCCAATACGGCCTGGGTGCGATGACAACCCAATACGGCCTGGGTGCGATGACAACCCAATACAGCCAGGGTGCGATGGTTTGTCTGACCCAGTTCCATTATTTACAGACACCGGAATATAGCAGGAATATTATATGGCGTAAAAGAACTATCAACATAAAATAAAGTCAATACTGGCAACGATAACATACCTACGTATACTAGAGTGAAAACATAACTGTGCTTCATATAAAGTGGTGTAAATTTTGTTATTGAAAATAACATCATAACATTTGGTCAATCATCTCATGGAGTTTTGAATACTGTTACTTCTCTAAATACTACATCAGTGTTGGCCTGTTTCTTTCTGAGTCTCTGAATTTCATGGCTAACAGTTCCAACGTAGGGGTGGCTGGTGTCAAAGAGTGCAGCCAGTTGGCGGGGAGATGTCTGGGTTTTCTCTTGGTGATGCTCTGTATTGTCCGTTGGGCTAGCTGTTCGGTGTAGCAGGCAAACATTGATGTAGTCTTCAAGTAACATTATTCAAAACAGCATCAAAGCCACAGGAAAACCACCATCCACCCAACAGCAATAACAATCGGGAACAGTGCACCACATTCAGTGTAATTTTGGACATGGTTATATTGGCGAAACATCAAGGCCCCTCAAAACCGAATTGGAGAACATCAGAGCTCAGTTTCCAAAGTTGACTCAAAATCAGCTTTATGAGACCATACCCGTGACAACCCCAGCCGCAGCATCCAGTGGGACAAAATCAAAGCACTTACGGCCGATGACAAGGACTCCACATTAGAAAATTCCAAGAAGCAATCCACATCAGAAGACTCCAACTTCACTTGCTTGATAACGGCGTTAGAAACTACACCGAAACGTCGCTCCTAGTTGTTCATCCATATATCTTATCCTTATACTAAGAACTTATAAATACCTCTCGAAGAAGTCATCAGTTTTGGGCGGGTTGTTATTAACAATTATTATTGGGTCACAGTATCGTAAACTAAACACCACAAAAAGTTGTCACAATGTTAAACTGATACCACTTGCACCTCTGTGGTTTTCGAGCATGAGTTATCATTTTACAAGCGCTTCTGTACATTACAGCAGGTCGTTTTCCGTCTGTTAACAAATGTAAACGGTTAGCTCCCTTTAGTTTTTGGTCCGGAAAAGAAATCCGGTTTGGTTTGACATACTACTTGTACACAACGCATATACTACATGCAGTAAATCAAAATGAATTTGAATTCTACAACATGATTCAAGAAAAGGATATACGTAACATTTAATATATTTCTTGTAAATTAAATTTTTAAGCTGTGCATTTATACTTGGACAAAACATCCGCGTGAACAATTAAAATAACTGAAAAGTGAAAACTAGTTGTTAGCTAAATAGACTATATGACGTCAAATACAAACAAGAGTCACAAGAAGATCAGTCACAAATATTGCCTAATAATATTGATAACACGACTCGTAAGTAAGTCTGATTGAAAACAGCAGAAGGCGACTGACTGTTATTTGAAGCCATGGACAGTATCCTTTTCACGTCTGTTTTGGTTCATTTGTAAGTATGTATTGTTTGTAGATCCCGTGAAAATGTAGCAGACCCGAAGGCTTCCGCCTTTGCCTTGGCTTTATTCAATTGTTTGATAGGTGGGGGATATTAGATCAACCTTTATTTCCTAAAAGTCATATTCACTGATTATATGTGCTACCAGTAGTATGTCTGACTGTCTACAATAACAATCAACAGATGGCTTCACTATTCGATGTGTGCAGAAACCTTCTCCATCTTTTGTACACTCTCATCTTCACTGTCTGCTTATCCGAAAATAACCTCCTCAGAAACTCCCTAGAGTTGTTGACCGTATAAACATTGCTAATGTCATAAAGAACTATTTCCTAAATCAAAGCTGCCATAGCACCTCCATTGTTATTGTTGTTGTTCTGATGACCTATATGCTTGTCCACCAAGTCCAGTAAACATCAATCATGTTGACCAGTGTTTGTAAAACAAAGGTGTTCAGACTGGCTTGAGTTTATAGTTTCCTTATTTTATTAACTTCTTAGAGAATAGAGGATTAAAAATTAAAATAGTAAACTTACAACGGTCACTACACATGTTGTAAGTGTGTGAAAACATTTGCAATAGTCTGGCAATATTGGCCCAAGAAAAGGGATATTGATGACTACCTAAACAAGTTTTATTTGTCGCAATCAGTAAGTACTATGGTCTTGACAAAATAGTTACTTTATTGTCTAGAGAATTTACATGACTTGTAATGCATACATCATTGTTGACAAAATGTCTGATGGTAATCACATGGTTTTCATACAGACAAATGGCGTTGGGTCATTTTCATTTCATATCAACATAGGACATTCTTTTATCATTTATATATCAGCACAAAAAATTTAAAATAAACTTTTTCAGGACAATTTTGATAACAAATTGTCAGTGTTGTAGAAAATGAACCAGTCTGAAGCCCAGTGATGAGAAGACATGATATTAACACGATGATTAATGTCACAGTGCTTACACTGTTGACATGCTTATGACCTAGCTTCCACGGAGGACATTTCACTCATTCTTCAATACAGCTCATCACAAAGTGTTCGTTGTACATCTTGTAAAGAGAATATTCCATTCACGTTTTTTATTTGTTGGTATGGTACTTGAATATCTGATAAACATGATCAGCTGATGACTAATTTCCATAAACAATGATTTTGATGTAGTTAAACCTTTTTCATCCAGGTTAAATGTAACTATGTTTAGTAAATATGTGTCTAGTGTAAGATCAGAGAATATACTGACTCCTATTAGTTTCACATGGAATGCCATACATATGTAATAAACAGGATAAATGAAAACTTATTATCATGATAATGTATTTATTTTTACATTGTGTTTGCATGGTAAGAGAAAAAATTGAATGAGTGTCAGAATTATCTGGACATGATGAACTGTGACATCTGAAATGGGATGTCACATCATTCTCATTACCGAGCAGATTCAGAAACATCATAACAGCACTAGACATACTAGACATACTAAATGTGTGGTGGAAAATTCCTTGACAATGTGCAGAACATCTCTTCAACCTCAAGTTTGCCTCCAAGGATTTGGAAAGAAATGCAAAAAAAAGTGAAAAATCAGAAAGGGAAGAAAAAGTTAAATTGAAGAAGGTAAGTGAACATGATAATAAGTGTTTCCAGGGATTGATATTGTCCGACATCTTGGCGACAAGGCATGACTGAAAATAATGTTAACTGGTCGTCTGCTGCCATGGTTACATTTAATTTCTATTATAATTCCCCCCGTGGTGATTCCTGGCAAGAATACGTCCCAAACATGCTTAGTATCTCTTGCTTGCAACCCATGAAGATCCAGCCGGGTTAGAATAAGAATTAGGATTATTATACCTGAACACCAGACCTTTGGAAATTTACCAGTATCAAAAATAATATTAAACACAAGTTCAATATAAGGGACCAGAATATCTTGAGCAGCTACAAAAAACTATGGGATTATATTGTCCAAACCAGCAGATTTTGAATATTTAAGTTCTGAGATTGTTTTTAATATTTCTTCTTGTGAAATAGGAGAGTCCAAGATAGAGGTAGATATATCATCAGGTACATGAACAGCTTCATAAACATTATTATCCTCATCATCATCAACCATGTGTTGCTTATCAGAAATATCAAACAAATTTTTAAAGTGCTCGTACCAAGTGTCAATACGTACAGGCGATTTATGTTGGGTTGTTGATGTACAGTGTTTCACAGCCTCCAAAAGGACCTGGCATTGTTAACATGGTTAATATAAGTTAACATTTTGTTTTTAATCATTTCTACATACACAAGTTTTTTCTTCCTGATAACCCCAGTGTCCATATTGCGGGCTGCAATGAAGTTCTGTAGATCTTTATCAGCCTAAAAATGTCTAAATGTCTTAAAAAGTCTATCATCCTATAAAACGCACATTCCTTATCATACCATGGCTGGGATACTTTTTGTGTGTATATATGTTTTTTCATACTGTCTGCTGACATACAAATTGCTGAAGTAAGTATACTTATAGCAGAGTTAATATCATTCAATGCTTCATCACAGCATGACATTAACATTTCTGAAATAGCTGGAGACAAAAGATTTTCTCGAAATTCAGACAACTCCAATGGGACATGCCAAACTTCCTACCTCTTACCAATGTGAATACATTGGTATGATTATAATATCTTGAAACTGACAACTATCAAATACAGTTTAGGAATGTAACCGAGCACATCTGAATGTGATGGTAATGCAAGGGCCATAACTCTTGGTGTGTTTACGATGCTTAGATAAACAGGCCAGACTAAATTCATTGTCAAGTGGTCCCTCTTTATACATGTATATGGTGTGACGTAACCTTTGTGTGATCCTACCAGCTCAGGGTACATTGGCTCGCACACAGGGCACATCAAACTGTATACCCCTCGAGAACTCATAGTGAATGGGGGTCCAAGGGTAATTGCTGACATACTTGACATCTACAGATTTCAATGAGATTGGTGTCACACTACACTTACAAGAATTTTCTGAAACCTATCTCTAAATAAAGTTGGAGATTTGCTTGATTCACACAAGACCTAGTGATTGAGTTTACTGTTAACAAATCTGTACATGGTCAGCCTTAACTTTGATTCCATCTCTCATTTATCAGTAAATATTAATGTCCATGCTGCAACTGAATCAGTTACACTGAGTCATACAGTCACTCTTGTTGTGTTCCTTGGGACTAGCAGTGCATATTATTTGCACTCAGTGTACAATTGTGATTATAGAGATGCAGTGTTTAGCATCCTGTGAATTGTGCTCACAATTGTGGCTATGTACAGGCTATACAGAAAGGCAACATGGAGGGAGCCAAGATCCACGCTGAGAACTCCATCCGCCAGAAGAATCAGGCCCTCAACTACCGCCGCATGAGTGCACGGATAGACGCCGTGGCAGCGCGGGTGCAGACAGCGGTCACCATGAAGCAGGTCACTGGCTCCATGGCAGGTGTGGTCAAGTCTATGGAATCTGCAATGAAGTCAATGAATTTGGAGAAGGTATGATTTTGTGATACGGCATTCTCTATATCTGTCCAGTTGCTCACTGAATAAGCTGATTGAGTATAGATCTTCGAATTGTAAGACGTGCCAATTGTCATTTGTAAGAGGGGTACCCAAAGTACATGATCTTGACTACCAGTTGTCAGACTCTCATTTTTGTGGGAGCCTCTGTGGCTGAGTGGGTTAGATCGCTGACTGTGTGACTGGTGATTAGGTGCCTCACTCTGGCAAGTGTGGGTTCTAATCCCAGATGGGACTCCTCCTCCAAAAGTACTAAAATTTGTACTTTACTAAGAAAGTGTTATCCCAAATATAACATTTGTTACATTTGACAATTTTCTAAATGGCATTTTGTATTCGTTGTATCAAAATCTACTGAATATGATGCTATATATGAGCCAAGTTGATGCTTGTACACTCAAACTAATCTGGCACAGACATATTCCTTCATTCACACTGATTGCATTTGCTTGGTGAGTCACAGCATATCTTAGCTAGTGAATTTCACCTGGTGAACATCTATGACATTTCGACTTCCTACAGAATTTGGAGGGACATCACTGAAATACTCTCCAACTTGCTCATGGCTGTTTTTGCAGGTGTCAGTATTGATGGACAGGTTTGAGCAGCAATTTGAGAACCTGGACGTGCAGTCGCAGGTGATGGAGAACACAATGTGCAACACGTCCACGCTGACCACGCCGCAGGGACAGGTGGACAGTCTCATGCAGGAAGTGGCCGATGAAGCTGGGTAAGTGGTCAGCAGAGAGTTTGTAGCTGGCAGGATTTGAGATGACTAGGGGACAAGGCCCTCATTCCACATGGCCATTGTTTGTGCTGTTTGTCCAATATCCAGGCAGTGGAGACATTTACTGAGTTGTCTCCCTTTCACCAGCAATGATCGAGCAGAAGGTTAGGAGATAAAAAATTAATTTATGTATTCACTCATCTGCAAAAATGATCTGCAGAGATGCCATCTACCTTTTTGTCACTAGTCCTTCCGACCTGTGAAGATCCAGGGTAGAACAGGTCTTCAGCAACCCATGCTTGCTGTAAAAGGCGATTGCTTGTGGTAAGAGGCAACTAACAGGATCGGGTGGTCTGGCTTGCTCATATCCCAACTGCGTGGCTTGATGGTCATGATGTCAGTCACTAAAATTTTTTTGTCCAAACTCGATTACTTTTAAGACCGCCGTCATGTAGCTGGAATATTGCTGAGTGCGGTGTTAAACAAATAAACACTAGTCATTCCTGATTTTTACAAGTCTGACTAGCAGGCTTATGTCAATAATCTTTTTTTAAAAAGGTACATATGTCAAAAAGAGTTTTATCTCATAGCCATACCAAATGCTAGAAAGCAGTCTTGATGTTAAATATCATTGATGCTGATAGTCAAGCATGTTATTGATGTCAACTATCGACAATATGAATTGTCCTCGATATACATGATATATAGCCAGCAGGCGACAGACAATCACAGTGGTGCAATGGTAGTTGAATAAATCAGTACATTCCAGTGTGGAAGTAAATAATGCTGTTGTGTTACAGTCTGGAGCTGAATATGGATCTGCCTCAAGCGCAGGGCTCCGCAGTTGGTGCTAGTGCCTCCACACAAGCCTCCCAGGAACAGGTAAGATGACCCATCGTACATTCACCATTGGGATTCTAAAGTAGGTCCCCTGTGATGGCTGATAGCGTGATGTCATACCCCAGTGGTATGAACTCTTGCTCATGCTATCAACCACTGGTGTGCCTGGCTCACACTCTGTTATCTTCAGGTCACTGTGACATAGCTGGAATATTGCTGACTGTTAGGCATGTGAAGGTGAAGGCTTACACTTTCTGCAGTGAGAATCCAACAATCAACATGATCAATAACTTTAAGGAGTCCCTGATGGCAACCTCTTGTGGAAGATAGGTCAGCCTGGTATTATCAGTCATCTGAGAGTTACTACAGGATAAAGCTAAGGTTATTCATCACTCAGCAAAACTATAATAATTTTCAGGATTTCCAGTTGTCTTATTTGTTTGGTTTAAGATTTTCTCAGATGATTGAGAGCTTTCAAAATCATTATAATGATGTCCTGTCCAAGATTACCAAACCGCAGAATTGTCACCCATAAGCCATTTGTCTCCAGTAGAGTCCCTGAAGTAAACTTATATCACCAGTATCAGTCTTAATTCACCTTTCATTGGTTTTGGTTTCAGGATGAACTCACGAAAAGATTGGCCAACCTACGTCAGATGTAAAGTACCTGTCATCACTATTGTCAAACATTATTGTTCAAAGACAATGCTTCATGGCTGTGCCTGGGTCTTGGTGAGATGGCAGCACCTGTATAGTGTGTTGCTGATCAGTGTGGGATGATTCCACGACTTGATACAAACCACCGTCATCACTATTCAACCGGGGGGGGGGGGGGGGGGGGGGGGGCACATGCTCTCAACGACTGGAACTTTCATATGTTTTGAAAACTTATGTGTTTTCAAGGTATCCAGTATCTTTTGGTATATTACATTTATGTCTTGTATGAAAAATGACAATTTGCAAATGGTTACATATATCATGTATACTGTTCATGTTATTTAAATTTTAGGTGTACATGTGACAAAGTCAGTTTGTTGCCTTTCTTAATACAGTTGTTAAAAAGCCAGAATGTTTCAGCCTGTGAAAAATATTCTGAACTTAGCTAATGGAAGTTCTAGTCATTGTAGAAGGATCTCTGAAGAAGAGTCTCTACTTCTGGAATTCCCAATAATGAGATAAAACATTAATTGACAATAGGTTCTTTATCATGAGAATTCTACAACATGCTATGACACTGTATGTCAACGGGGACATGGTATGGGAAGCTTCCAATAAGAGATTCTTCATTGTTGATTAATTCACTATTGTATCAGTGAGAGAATGCCTGAATATTCAAAGAATGTTTGTAACATGTAAGAGGTGTTTCAGGATTAAAAAAAGACATACGATACACAGCTATGTAGAGAAGTAGGCAAATAATTAAACATAGGCCTACAAGGGTTAAACACTTAGATTGCATTGTGTAACAGTTTCTGGATGTTAATGGTACACAGTGCCCAATGATGTGTTTGTTAGAGCAAGTTTTGATTATGTTGTCAGTTGTTATCAGACCTTATTTTTTGTCTTTAGAATATAGATTTTTTTGTACCTACTGTGCAATGATGTAACACAATCTCAAGTATATATCTCCAATGACAAATTTTTTTTGTGTGTATCTTCTTTCACTTTCCTTTTGATAAAGTTCATCCAGTGGTTTCAGGTGCCAGTCTCTCTCCAGGCTATCATGTCTTTTTCAAATCCCAATTTTACTCTGATTATGATGCATGGCATAGCCCATGAGCAGGAGCTTCACATCAGGCCTTCCTCCGCAGCTGAGATGTCGTTCAAAGTGGCATTGAAGCGAAACCAACTCTTACCTTCCTGATCTAAGGACAACCAAAACATATTCTTGTGAATTATATGTCCTTGGAATATTATGCAGTCATGCACCATGTTTTAATCTAATGATGTAATTTATTTGTAAATATTAATCTTTTCTCCGGTTTAGGATTTTGTCCTTTTCTCATATGACCATTAACAACCCTATATGTGTACCTCGCCTGAAAACTGTTTATAAAACGTAAAAAAATATCTTAAGTGTTCAGACAGCATCAACATATTTGCATTGCTGCATGTTATTTGATGTCTCTGAAGCTGGGTTGATGTTGGTAGTGGGTAGTGACATGGACCTAAGGAGTGAGATAGCCACCTTAATTCCCAAATGAAAAAATACTGCATGCACAATGTATATGTTGTTTGCCATTATTTCATTTGTGGATAGAAAACTGATTTACTTGGAAGAGGGAATTTATGATGATATACTAACAATCTTCAACCCATTACAAACAAGCTTTCATGTATTTGTGAAATTGTAGACTTTGACTGTGTTCTAGTGCAGAGAGAGGCATGTTGGATGTTGTTCAGTGTTCTCTGCATGATACACAGTTAGATATTTGTTGCATAAGGCTGTATGTTCAAATTGTAAATAGTGCCATTTTATATGAATAAAATTATATCAAATATTGTTGTTTGTCTGATGAGCTCGACTTGTTTGTTTGTTGGTTAATGCTGCAGTCAGCAAAATTCCAGCTACAGTGACCTGTAAATAATTGCGTCTGGGCCATACAAACCAGTGATTGATATTATGAACAATGTCCTACCTCCATTACACATAAACCAAATAACTAAGTATGTTTGAGCACCCAAGCTGCAACATGGTATCTATAAATCGGCATCAGTCCAGATTAGTGTGCGCACACACACGCACGCACGCACACACACACACACACACACATATGCATGTCACTATATAAGTGCAATAACATTAAACCCCATTTCTCCTCACCTGTACAACCAAGCCAAGTCTTTGAGGCAACATGGACATGCATTGGTAACTTGGAGACCTTTTCAAACCTAAATCCCCACCCGGTCCTTGTGTCATTCCAATGAAACACATTTTCAGAGTTTGGGAAGCATGCAATATTTTCATCACATTGCTCTCTGCTCGTCTACAAATGTAGTTTCCTTGGGCCTACTTGGCCAGAGCAACTTTAGTGAGTGGTCAGTTGGATACTGCAGCCCATCTGATAGGGAATTCAGAGGCAGATCCGGGAGTTTTCAAAGTCGATGAGGATCCGTTTTTTAATTTGTAAATACACTCGAGGTATGTGGATTTTTTATCTTCAATTTCAGGAGTATATTTATGGTGTGGGGGTGGTATTTTCAAGTTGATCCCAGGGGTATTTGACACGGGGATATAGTAATCATCTTGTCAGTTCTTCCTACTGTGTACGTCTGTAATCATATGTTGTCCTGATCATTTCTCTTAAACTAATAGATATTCTTTCGTGAAACGTTTCACACACAAAGACCAGGTTGTCAACTGGTGCCTTTTTCTATTTAGGGATTATTAGAATTTTTATATTTTCCGTCTCCACGGCAAGAAATTTGACTTTCACACACACACACACACACACACACACTATAATAGATTACAGTGTAAGCCATGTACCAATTCTGTTACTTCCTCTAACTCGTTTCTTTGCAAAAAAGGACCTGACATACAAATACATAGTTCTGAATCCCAATTCCATGGTATTGTTTTGTTTTGACGGAGAGCCGGGTGAGATGGGAGCACTCTCAGGTTGGACTGATCACTCTGGTAGGGGACGGTCGGGTAGCCTAGTGGTTAAAGCGTTAGCTCGTCACGCCGAAGACCCGGGTTCGATTCCCGACATGGGTACAATGTGTGAAGCCCATTTCTGGTGTCCCCCGCCGTGATATTGCTGGAATATTGCTAAAAGCGGCGTAAAACCATACTCACTCACTCTGGTAGGACGTGATCAGATGATTTGTTCTTAGCGCTATGAGGTTAATGAGGTCATGTGATCCTTAATGGCAACGGCATCAGCAGGTGTGAAAATAGGGCAACGTGTACCCAATACGTTACACAGTGGAAACCTCTATGAGCATCTTGTTTTAGTGTCTGCAACAAGAGCATTTAAAAACTATTCAAATCTATACCCTTGATTTCCAAAAAACTTTCTAAAGCATGTAATCATTTAGAAAATTACAAATGCTGCCTCGCGCAGGTAAATGCTTATGTTTCAAACCCTTGTAAATTAAGAAAATAATAAGAAAGTTTCGAACCTTTAGCAATTAAGGAAGAGAATATGTGGATGTCAACTTCTTTATTATGAGGAAACACAACGTTTCAGGGTATATACCTACTCCTTCACCAGGTGCAAGAAGGCAGAGAACATATATATGTACAGGTAAGGACAAACAAAATTAATGAGATAACAAAATGTGTATCATTTCTAAATGCCTTTCAAAGACCTATAACAATTAAACAAAAATGCATTTGAAATACGCCTTGCGCAAGTATCTACTAGCGTATCTATCAACTTCTGAAGTCTTGCTTGGAATGTCTGCAAATCAGGTCAAAGCTTTCACGACAATGTTCTGTGGATGCGGTAATATACGTCAAATATGTCATGAAGCGCTGGACAGTTTTTTAAAGTGTATTGAACATGGGCTGTGATGTATTGATCTCAGTATCGCTGTGTTCAGAGTTGATCTCTATCTAAGCACTTTATTAGAAACATTTAAATGTCTCACATATGTCATCTTTTTCCTATGTTGGTGTCGGACATCAAATGCACCTCATTGGTGAGAATGAGTGTTTATCGCTAGCAAAATGACATTTCTTAGTAAGAATGAGTGGTAAGTCTAGCTGTATCATCTCTGGACTCTTTCCGGGTTGGTGAGTTTGCATATGTTTGTGCACGTGCAGTCCACGAGGTGCATCATCGCCAATACTTCACGGATGCATACACATTGGTGAGGTGAGGTGAAATGGGGGTGCACTTATATTGCGACGTGCATGCACGTGTGTGCGGATGCTTGTGCTAGTCCTGACTAATGCCGAGATACCATGCCGCACTTTAATATGAATACCTCACTCGCACTTTGCAATTTTAATCATTACTGTAAATAATATTCATTGTAGCATGAATGATGCGTTGTTTTCACAATATACGTATTAGCACATATAAGTATTTTCGATAATTGCAAACAGCGATATTTTATTCACGTTTACCTTTGCCAACCAGCACAAACAACGCAATTCAAACATTATGTGTGACACTACATGAATCAGGAACACTACATGCATTATAACGAAGGGAAATCACACCCAACATTTTGTTTGTTTGACCGTAAAAGTAACATTATCATATTAATTTATACTATGAGAGAGAGAGAGAGAGAGAGAGAGAGAGAGAGAGAGAGAGAGAGAGAGAGAGAGAGAGAGAGAGAGAGATCCGATTAAAAAGTGTTATTGTTTACATAAAACCTAATACTATTGATAATGTAACAACACGTTCAACAAGGGAATATTTATGTATTCGTTTGTTTGTTTGTTTGTTTGTGAAAGAACAACCCTCCCAGGTCGCAGTGGAGAACACGGAGCTGACTGCCCTGTATGTTGTCGACTCGATGTCCATCTGAAATACAAGAACACGTTCAAATACTTGATTACATATTTTGTATATTTCTCAATTAAATGTTTTTCATAATTTCCATTTTAATAATATTTGTATCCTATTATTCTGATACTATGTATTATTTGCTCATTCATCACTGACTGGATATTGAAATAATAGGACAATTGTCTGAATCTATTGTTTCTGGCATTACTTATAGTCCATGGTACCCTGCAGCTTGCAGGCGAAAGGCTCGAGCGTAGGTTAGATTGTACAGACTTAAGAGAGACCTCAACTCGCTCCTTCCACTGCATATCTCTACACCAAATATCCTATTTCGGAAATCGCAGTTCACAATTTTGCAACAACCAGTGTGTTACTCCCTTAAAACAGCACTACTAACACAACATACCGCATCAAAAGAACTTTACCACAAACACAAAGGCCTACCCACTTCACAACCGAGCCTCTCTTTCACCACTAAGTCATACGCACAAATTATATTTATTTCCTTAATTTCTTTCAATGTTGCACCATTTGAATATATCTATTTAACGTATGAACTGTAGCAATATAGGGAAGTGTATTTTGGTGTGGTTGATCGCCCCTTTGAAATGATGGCAATGAGGAAAGTATTTGAGATTTGGTTGACTTATTCCGAGGAAAACCTATTAATTCATATCCTGAAACTGAATCATGTATTTTAAGATCCGTATTTGTGCATCAGATTGACAAACAGGTATCGTCACAAGGCAAGACTGAATGTCGTAAACGTGGTTGTCACCGTGGGGGGATGTAGTCGCCGATGCAGGTGACAGTGATTGGTGATAGTCACGGTGTTGGGAGATAGTCACAGTGATAGGAGGTACTTACAGTGATTGGTGATAGTCACAGTGGTTGGTGATAGTCACGGTGTTGGGAGGTAGTCACAGTGATTGGAGGTACTTACAGTGATTAGTGATAGTCACAGTGGTTGGTGATAGTCACGGTGTTAGGAGATAGTCACAGTGATTGGAGATAGTCACAGTGATAGGAGGTACTTACAGTGATTGGTGATAGTCACAGTGGTTGGTGATAGTCACGGTGTTGGGAGGTAGTCACAGTGAATGGAGATAGTCACATTGATTGGAAATAGTCACAGTGATAGGAGGTACTTACAGTGATAGGAGGTACTTACAGTGATTGGTGATAGTCACCGTGTTGGGAGGTAGTCACAGTGATTGGAGGTACTTACAGTGATTAGTGATAGTCACAGTGGTTGGTGATAGTCACGGTGTTAGGAGATAGTCACAGTGATTGGAGATAGTCACAGTGATAGGAGGTACTTACAGTGATTGGTGATAGTCACAGTGGTTGGTGATAGTCACGGTGTTGGGAGGTAGTCACAGTGATTGGAGGTACTTACAGTGATTAGTGATAGTCACAGTGGTTGGTGATAGTCACGGTGTTAGGAGATAGTCACAGTGATTGGAGATAGTCACAGTGATAGGAGGTACTTACAGTGATTGGTGATAGTCACAGTGGTTGGTGATAGTCACGGTGTTGGGAGGTAGTCACAGTGAATGGAGATAGTCACATTGATTGGAAATAGTCACAGTGATAGGAGGTACTTACAGTGATAGGAGGTACTTACAGTGATTGGTGATAGTCACCGTGTTGGGAGGTAGTCACAGTGATTGGAGGTACTTACAGTGATTAGTGATAGTCACAGTGGTTGGTGATAGTCACGGTGTTAGGAGATAGTCACAGTGATTGGAGATAGTCACAGTGATAGGAGGTACTTACAGTGATTGGTGATAGTCACAGTGGTTGGTGATAGTCACGGTGTTGGGAGGTAGTCACAGTGAATGGAGATAGTCACATTGATTGGAAATAGTCACAGTGATAGGAGGTACTTACAGTGATTGGAGATAGTCACAGTGATTGGTGATAGTCACCGTGTTGGGAGGTAGTCACAGTGATTGGAGATAGTCACATTGCTTGGAAATAGTCACAGTGATAGGAGGTACTTACAGTGATAGGAGATAGTCACAGTGATTGGAGATAGTCACAGTGATAGGAGGTACTTACAGTGATTGGAGATATTCACAGTGATTGGAGATAGTCACAGTGATAGGAGGTACATACAGTGATTGGTGATAGTCACAGTGATTGGAGATAGTCACAGTGATAGGAGGTACTTACAGTGATTGGTGATAGTCACAGTTAGTAGTGGTAGTCACGGTGTTGGGAGATAGCCACAGTAATTAGTGGTAGCCACGGTGTTGGGAGATAGCCACAGTAATTAGTGGTAGTCACGGTGTTGGGAGATAGAAAAGGTGACAGCCACAGTTTCCACTAATATCACGTCCGTGATCCTGAAAATAATCACATTCCGCCATAACACCAAACATCGTGAAGAATCATCGTTTTATCACTCACACGAAATTCGAGCAGATATGCACAGCCTCGTTCTTGTATTGTTCGCATGCACGTGCTGCACGTGGGCTACCAAGGCTGGTAATCTGACTGACATCTACCTCATAGGACTATTTCCCCTTTCGGGGCCGTGGAATGGAGGCCAGGCGATGCTTCCTGCTTCTCAAATGGCTGTCGAAGATATCAACAACAGGTCTGATATACTGCCTGGGTACCGACTCAACATCAACTGGACGGATACTCAGGTAGGTTCCGCTTCGTCAGGGTCCACGGTCCTGGGTTTGGATCCCCTGTTTCCACGATTGTGATGTTGGCCATTCTTATACATACCCCCCCCTCCCGCCCCCCCATCTCCCCCCTTTGCGTTTTCACACTATTTATCTGCCATGTTACTTTCAAAGCCGCCCTACCCCAACTCACTCATGTGTATGCTTCTGTTAAAGTAGGACGGAAGTACCATCTTAACATCTAAGACTTACCTTCGCAAATGATAAAAAAGGATCTTTAATCTTGAACTAAAACATTTCGCTGATCTTCACATTAATTGTCAGCGTTGTCATGGGAATGAACCAATCTCCTGGGAACCCCGACTTACAGTTCTTGGATATCTTGTGTATCGTACCTACATTATTATGCATACATATACTCACACGCAAAAGAAACGCAAGTCGAGTATGCAGTATACATGTTATTTATTTTCAACAGTAAAGACAAGGAATACTAATAGGGCAAGATTGACAAAGATTTGACTGAAGACAGTTGTGGCATTGTTGACCAAGGAGTGGTAGGTCCAAGAATCGGCCACAGTTTCATACCCACTACAGTTCTTGACAGTTTGTGCATTTTCGATTTCGCGAGAAATGGGTGCATGATACCTACATATTCATGGGAATGGTGCGTTTTGGCGATTCGTTTTTTGTTGTTACGTTTTTACTCGGGGCTTCCAAAATGCAACCAAAAATATTGATAACACCATCAGGCTTCACTACATGCTAAAACTCGTATCAGTTTATGGTCCCGTGTTTGCTACCAATTTGCTTAAAACCACTTGCGTTTATTTTGCGTGTGAGTATATATTTAACACAATAGAATGGAGACCCAATATATGGATCGAGTATGTGTATTCGGTAGTATCGAGATGTTTTCATCTTCCTTATTTTTAAATGTGTTTCCGTATATATTCCTTATATTTCTTCAAAGCGGCGTAAAACTAAACTCACTGACTTGTCCTATATAAAGGTCTTCAGTGTATGCTCAGTATTCAGCCAGGGAAGTGTCTCAAAGCACATTTCCATTTTGAGATGAATACCTATCAGCCATCGAGTTGATAGTATCACTGGTGCTCCCTTAAGATGTGATCAGTCAGTTCACTGGAGTAATGGCAACTGTTTCAGTGTGACGCAGGTTTGGGGGTCAAGGCGCTGGCGGACGCCGTGTGTCAGTCCCCTACTAAGATCATGATAATCGGGGAAGGGTGCTCCCCCGTCAGCCAGGCAGTAGCACAGGCAGCCTACAGGTGGAACCTAAACCAGGTGAGCCACGCTGCTCCACAGCACAACACTGAAAAAAAGACACTAATCATGTTTCATTGTTTGTTTTTATTTTACTATTTCTATATGTTGAGCAAAGTAGGCGAATTTGATTTTAAACGCCTTTCCGTAATATTACGGCCATATTATGACGCAGGAAGCCTAGAATGGACACTCCAGTAGAAATCGTTTTTCTTAAATGTATGTCTTCGGCCCTGTACGTGCCGGGTTTGCGTCTCTAGAGATGTTTCCCGTGTATATGTCGTATATTTCCCTTCATCTATAGCATATTTCTCTTGCATATATCGTATCGTAAGTTTGTCTAATTATTTCAGTGGTATATATCGCATGGTTTCCTTGTAGTTACCGTTTCTTCGCCTTTCCAGTGTGTATGTCGTACGTTTCACATGCATGCATCGCGAGTTTCCCAAGTACGTATATAGATCGTATGTTACTGTTTGCACGTATCCCTTGGAAATTTTCTATGTTGCTCTCGTATATATTATATTTCCATTGTGTATATACATCGTATATTTATTGTTCTTGTGTATATCGTGTGTTTCCTTTGCAGATGTCGCATCTTACACTTGTAGTTGACACATGTTTTTCTTCTCGTGTAGATATCGTATGTGTTCTTTTGTATAATTGTCTTGTAGATATCGTATGTGTCCTTTGGTATGTTTCTCGTGTAGATATCGTATGTGTTCTTTTGTATAATTGTCTTGTAGATATCGTATGTGTCCTTTGGTATGTTTCTCGTGTAGATATCTTATGTGTCTTTTCGTATGTTTCTCGATTAGATATCGTATGTGTCTTTTGGTGTGTTTCTCTGGTAGATATCGTTTGGGACCTTTGGTATGTTTCTCTTGTAGATATCGTATGTGTCTTTTGGTATGTTTCTCTTGTAGATATATCATATGTGACCTTTGGTACGATTCTCGTGTAGATATCGTATGTGTCCTTTGGTATGTTTCTCTTGTAGATATCGTATGTGTCTTTTGGTTGGTTTCTCGTGTAGATATCGTATGTGTCTTTTGGTTGGTTTCTCGTGTTGATATCATATGTGACCTTTGGTATGTTTCTCGTGTAGATATCGTATGTGTCTTTTGGTTGGTTTCTCGTGTAGATATCGTATGTGTCTTTTGGTTGGTTTCTCGTGTAGATATCGTATGTGTCTTTTGGTTGGTTTCTCGTGTAGATATCGTATGTGTCCTTTGGTATGTTTCTCGTGTAGATATCTTATGTGTCTTTTCGTATGTTTCTCGATTAGATATCGTATGTGTCTTTTGGTGTGTTTCTCTGGTAGATATCGTTTGGGACCTTTGGTATGTTTCTCTTGTAGATATCGTATGTGTCTTTTGGTATGTTTCTCTTGTAGATATATCATATGTGACCTTTGGTACGATTCTCGTGTAGATATCGTATGTGTCCTTTGGTATGTTTCTCGTGTAGATATCGTATGTGTCTTTTGGTTGGTTTCTCGTGTAGATATCGTATCTGTCTTTTGGTATGTTTCTCGTGTAGATATCGTATGTGTCCTTTGGTATGTTTCTCGTGTAGATATCTTATGTGTCTTTTGGTTGGTTTCTCGTGTAGATATCGTATCTGTCTTTTGGTATGTTTCTCGTGTAGATATCGTATGTGTCCTTTGGTATGTTTCTCGTGTAGATATCTTATGTGTCTTTTGGTTGGTTTCTCGTGTAGATATCGTATGTGTCTTTTGGTATGTTTCTCGTGTAGATATCGTATCTGTCTTTTGGTATGTTTCTCGTGTAGATATCGTATGTGTCTTTTGGTTTGTTTCTCGTGTAGATATCGTATCTGTCTTTTGGTATGTTTCTCGTGTAGATATCGTATCTGTCCTTTGGTATGTTTCTCGTGTAGATATCGTATGTGTCTTTTGGTTGGTTTCTCGTGTAGATATCGTATGTGTCTTTTGGTATGTTTCTCGTGTAGATATCGTATGTGTCCTTTGGTATGTTTCCCGTGTAGATATCGTATGTGTCCTTTGGTATGTTTCTCGTGTAGATATCGTATGTGTCTTTTGGTTGGTTTCTCGTGTAGATATCGTATGTGTCTTTTGGTATGTTTCTCTTGTAGATATATCATATGTGACCTTTGGTACGATTCTCGTGTAGATATCGTATGTGTCCTTTGGTATGTTTCTCGTGTAGATATCGTATGTCTCCTTTGGTATGTTTCTCTTGTAGATATCGTATGTGTCTTTTGGTTGGTTTCTCGTGTAGATATCGTATGTGTCTTTTGGTTGGTTTCTCGTGTAGATATCGTATGTCTCCTTTGGTATGTTTCTCGTGTAGATATCGTATGTGTCCTTTGGTTGGTTTCTCGTGTAGATATCGTATGTCTCCTTTGGTATGTTTCTCTTGTAGATATCGTATGTGTCTTTTGGTTGGTTTCTCGTGTAGATATCGTATGTGTCTTTTGGTTGGTTTCTCGTGTAGATATCGTATGTGTCCTTTGGTTGGTTTCTCGTGTAGATATCGTATGTGTCTTTTGGTTGGTTTCTCGTGTAGATATCGTATGTGTCTTTTGGTATGTTTCTCTTGTAGATATATCATATGTGACCTTTGGTACGATTCTCGTGTAGATATCGTATGTGTCCTTTGGTTGGTTTCTCGTGTAGATATCGTATGTCTCCTTTGGTATGTTTCTCTTGTAGATATCGTATGTGTCTTTTGGTTGGTTTCTCGTGTAGATATCGTATGTGTCCTTTGGTTTGTTTCTCGTGTAGATATCGTATGTGTCTTTTGGTTGGTTTCTCGTGTAGATATCGTATGTGTCTTTTGGTATGTTTCTCTTGTAGATATATCATATGTGACCTTTGGTACGATTCTCGTGTAGATATCGTATGTGTCCTTTGGTTGGTTTCTCGTGTAGATATCGTATGTCTCCTTTGGTATGTTTCTCTTGTAGATATCGTATGTGTCTTTTGGTATGTTTCTCGTGTAGATATCGTATGTGTCCTTTGGTATGTTCCTCGTGTAGATATCGTATGTGTCTTTTGGTATGTTTCTCGTGTAGATATCGTATGTGTCCTTTGGTATGTTTCTCGTGTAGATATCGTATGTGTCTTTTGGTTGGTTTCTCGTGTAGATATCGTATGTGTCTTTTGGTTGGTTTCTCGTGTAGATATCGTATGTGTCTTTTGGTATGTTTCTCGTGTAGATATCGTATGTGTCCTTTGGTATGTTTCTCGTGTAGATATCGTATGTGTCCTTTGGTATGTTTCTCGTGTAGATATCGTATGTGTCTTTTGGTTGGTTTCTCGTGTAGATATCGTATGTGTCTTTTGGTTGGTTTCTCGTGTAGATATCGTATGTGTCCTTTGGTATGTTTCTCGTGTAGATATCGTATGTGTCTTTTGGTTGGTTTCTCGTGTAGATATCGTATGTGTCTTTTGGTTGGTTTCTCGTGTAGATATCGTATGTGTCTTTTGGTTGGTTTCTCGTGTAGATATCGTATGTGTCTTTTGGTTGGTTTCTCGTGTAGATATCGTATGTGTCCTTTGGTTGGTTTCTCTTGTAGATATATCATATGTGACCTTTGGTATGTTTCTCTTGTAGATATCGTATGTTTCCCTGTCGATGACGCTATCCAACAAGGACATGTACCCGAACTTCTTCAGGGTCGTGACGTCAGAGCATGCTTCCAATGATGCTCGGATGGCCATTTTCAAACATTTCAACTGGCGACGAGTTGCCACTATGCATGAGTCCCACCACCTGTTCTCCACGGTAAGAACAGACAACAGTTTTCACAATACACCAGCCCTACAACCTGTTCTCCACGGTAATAACAGACAACAGTTTTCACAACACACCAGCCCTATAACCTGTTCTCCACGGTAAGAACAGACAACAGTTTTCACAACACACCAGCCCTATAACCTGTTCTCCACGGTAAGAACAGACAACATTTTCACAATACACCAGTCCCACAACCTGTTCTCCACGGTAAGAACAGACAACAGTTTTCACACTACACCAGGTCTACAACCTGTTCTCCACGGTAAGAACAGACAACATTTTCACCTTACACCAGCCCTACAGCCTGTTCTCCACAGTAAGAACAGACAACAGTTTTCACCTTACACCAGCCCTACAACCTATTCTCCACGGTAAGAACAGACAACAGTTTTCACAACACACCAGCCCTACAACCTGTTCTCCACGGTAAGAACAGACAACATTTTCACCTTACACCAGTCCTATCACTTTGACCCTTTTTCTTACATCTTTAAGTGCTACGACTATATATATATATTTCTTTGTTGAACGGGACCCACATCTCCATATATGTGTGTATGTATCGCGTGTGTGATGTAAGCGTAGGTGTCTGCACTCTTAAAGGGATGTATGGCGTGTGTGATGTAAGCATGGGTTTCTGCACTCTTAAAGGAATGTATCGCGTGTGTGATGTAAGCGTGGGTGTCTGCATTCTTAAAGGAATGTATCGCGTGTGTGATGTAAGCGTGGGTGTCTGCATTCTTAAAGGAATGTATAGCATGTGTGATGTAAGCATGGGTTTCTGCACTCTTAAAGGAATGTATCGCGTGTGTGATGTAAGCGTGGGTGTCTGCATTCTTAAAGGAATGTATCGCGTGTGTGATGTAAGCGTGGGTGTCTGCACTCTTAAAGGTATGTATCACGTGTGTGATGTAAGCATGGGGATTCTGCACTCATAAAGAAATGTATAGCGTGTGTGATGTAAGCGTGGGTGTCTGCACTCTTAAAGGAATGTATCGCGTGTGTGATGTAGGCGTGGGTGTTTGCATTCTTAAAGGAATGTATCGCGTGTGTGATGTAAGCGTGGGTGTCTGCATTCTTAAAGGAATGTATCGCGTGTGTGATGTAAGCGTGGGTGTCTGCATTCTTAAAGGAATGTATCGCCTGTGTGATGTAAGCGTGGGTGTCTGCATTCTTAAAGGAATGTATCGCGTGTGTGATGTAAGCTTGGGTGTCTGCACTCTTAAAGGAATGTATCGCGTGTGTGATGTAAGCGTGGGTGTCTGCGCTCTTAAAGGAATGTATCGCGTGTGTGATGTAAGCGTGGGTGTCTGCACTCTTAAAGGAATGTATCGCGTGTGTGATGTAAGCGTGCGTGTCTGCACTCTTAAAGGAATGTATCGCGTGTGTGATGTAAGCTTGGGTGTCTGCACTCTTAAAGGAATTTATCGCGTGTGTGATGTAAGCGTGGGTGTCTGCACTCTTAAAGGAATGTATAGCGTGTGTGATGTAAGCGTGGGTGTCTGCATTCTTAAAGGAATGTATCGCGTGTGTGATGTAAGCGTGGGTGTCTGCACTCTTAAAGGAATGTATCGCGTGTGTGATGTTAGCGTGGGTGTCTGCACTCTTAAAGGAATGTATCGCGTGTGTGATGTAAGCGTGGGTGTCTGCACTCTTAAAGGAATGTATCGCGTGTGTGATGTAAGCTTGGGTGTCTGCACTCTTAAAGGAATGTATCGCATGTGTGATGTAAGCGTGGGTGTCTGCACTCTTAAAGGAATGTATAGCGTGTGTGATGTAAGCGTGGGTGTCTGCACTCTTAAAGGAATGTATCGCGTGTGGGATGTAAGCGTGGGTGTCTGCACTCTTAAAGGAATGTATCGCGTGTGTGATGTAAGCGTGGGTGTCTGCACTCTTAAAGGAATGTATCGCGTTTGTGATGTAAGCGTGGGTGTCTGCGCTCTTAAAGGAATGTATCGCGTGTGTGATGTAAGCGTGGGTGTCTGCATTCTTAAAGGAATGTATAGCGTTTGTGATGTAAGCGTGGGTGTCTGCGCTCTTAAAGGAATGTATCGCGTGTGTGATGTAAGCGTGGGTGTCTGCACTCTTAAAGGAATGTATCGCGTGTGTGATGTAAGCGTGCGTGTCTGCACTCTTAAAGGAATGTATCGCGTGTGTGATGTAAGCTTGGGTGTCTGCACTCTTAAAGGAATTTATCGCGTGTGTGATGTAAGCGTGGGTGTCTGCACTCTTAAAGGAATGTATAGCGTGTGTGATGTAAGCGTGGGTGTCTGCATTCTTAAAGGAATGTATCGCGTGTGTGATGTAAGCGTGGGTGTCTGCACTCTTAAAGGAATGTATCGCGTGTGTGATGTAAGCGTGGGTGTCTGCACTCTTAAAGGAATGTATCGCGTGTGTGATGTAAGCGTGGGTGTCTGCACTCTTAAAGGAATGTATAGCGTGTGTGATGTAAGCGTGGGTGTCTGCACTCTTAAAGGAATGTATCGCGTGTGGGATGTAAGCGTGGGTGTCTGCACTCTTAAAGGAATGTATCGCGTGTGTGATGTAAGCGTGGGTGTCTGCACTCTTAAAGGAATGTATAGCGTTTGTGATGTAAGCGTGGGTGTCTGCGCTCTTAAAGGAATGTATCGCGTGTGTGATGTAAGCGTGGGTGTCTGCACTCTTAAAGGAATGTATAGCGTTTGTGATGTAAGCGTGGGTGTCTGCACTCTTAAAGGAATGTATCGCGTGTGTGATGTAAGCGTGGGTGCCTGCACTCTTAAAGGAATATATCGCGTGTGTGATGTAAGCGTGGGTGTCTGCATTCTTAAAGGAATGTATCGCGTGTGTGATGTAAGCGTGGGTGTCTGCACTCTTAAAGGAATGTATCGCGTGTGTGATGTAAGCGTGGGTGTCTGCACTCTTAAAGGAATGTATAGCGTTTGTGATGTAAGCGTGGGTGTCTGCGCTCTTAAAGGAATGTATCGCGTGTGTGATGTAAGCGTGGGTGTCTGCACTCTTAAAGGAATGTATCGCGTGTGTGATGTAAGCTTGGGTGTCTGCACTCTTAAAGGAATGTATCGCGTGTGTGATGTAAGCGTGGGTGTCTGCACTCTTAAAGGAATGTATAGCGTGTGTGATGTAAGCGTGGGTGTCTGCATTCTTAAAGGAATGTATCGCGTGTGTGATGTAAGCGTGGGTGTCTGCACTCTTAAAGGAATGTATCGCGTGTGTGATGTTAGCGTGGGTGTATGCACTCTTAAAGGAATGTATCGCGTTTGTGATGTAAGCGTGGGTGTCTGCACTCTTAAAGGAATGTATCGCGTGGGTGATGTAAGCGTGGGTGTCTGCCCTCTTAAAGGAATGTATAGCGTGTGTGATGTTTAGCGTGGGTGTCTGCACTCTTAAAGGAATGTATCGCGTGTGTGATGTAAGCGTGGGTGTCTGCACCCTTAAAGGAATGTATAGCGTTTGTGATGTAAGCGTGGGTGTCTGCACCCTTAAAGGAATGTATAGCGTTTGTGATATATTTTGTAGTTTCTGAACGCAATCACTGACCATGTGTAACTGAGGTCATTCATTTTCAGATGGTCGAGGACATAGTGAAACGAATGGAAGCAGAAACATTTGAAATCGCTACTCAAGTTATCTTCAGCCAGGACCCAGAAACTGCCGTCCGCAGTTTAAAGGTGAGATATATATGTACAGTACATTCCTCCATCAGCCGTGAATACATACGGCCGTTTTAGTGTAGTCACCCTTCTTAACCAACTAAGGGGCACGGGTGGCCCAGTCGTCTAAGGCGCCACACTTTGATGTTCAGAGTTTCGTTTCTTGGGCACGCCAGAAACCTATGATTGTACATTCGAATACCGGTTCGCCTCGATTATTCTTCTAGGTTTCTCAACATCATACCCGTGCTCGTGGGTTTCACCAAAGTGGTAAACGTCTGAGACCTTCTTACTTCGGGCTTTCCTTCCACATCAAGGTGACACGCCGTGATATATGTGGAATACTGTTAAAAGCGGCGTTAACCCCAACTCAGCCACTCCCAACCAACGAATTAGCTACACCAGCGACTGCTCAGAGCAATTAGCGTTCAGATTACATTGCACCGACGGCAATATGCACAGCCACACTCTACTCTACACATTGTTTCAATAGCAGGCATCGTTAGGGTTCGAACAAACGTCCTGCGTGAATACAGCTCGTTTGACTACAGTTCATAATACATAGTCAATTTCATTGCTTGACTAAAAATATGCAGGCGTCGCTACTACATCGCACATTGGCCCAATGTATTCACATCCCCGGACGCGTCATACCAACAAGACGTTAAAAGATGGTACTTGTTGTTACCCTGCCTGGCTCTCGTCATTAAAGGACTGGTCGGCTCGGAGTCAGTATGATGTGGCCAGGTATTCATGTTAAACTGCGGTATAGTATCTGAGTGGGCTAGCACTATAAAATCGGCATAAGACCGGACAAGTACAAGCACACACACACACACACACACACACACACACACACACACACACACACACACACACACACACACACACGTGCGCACGTGCGCACGTGCATACATGTCGCTATTTAAGTGCAAATAATCTTGAACGCAACGTTAACCCCCATTTCACCTCACCAATGTATTCACGGGTAATGGGGGAATGTAGAGTATTCGAACCCGTGAAGTATTGTCGATGATGCTCCTCCACTGAAGATGTACACATAAGCACACTCACCAACCCATGCCGGATAGTTGGAGTCCAGGGGATGATACGGCTAGACTTACCACTTTTTTGTTAATAGATTGTTGACACTTTTCTCAATGATTTCTGGTCGTTCGTATTTTTATGTCATTTTGACATTCTAAACTGAAAGTATAACCTTTAGCTGTCCCTTCAAGAGAGAGGAAACACGCTCCTATTGGAATATTCATAAAAACGGAATGCATGTCATAGCATAGACTGTCAAGTAACAAAAAGGATCAAAATGCAAAATTTCAACAAATATATTTTAATCACTGTATTCCCTTCTGAAAGTATTGAATTACATTTTGATAATAATTATCATCCATTGTGTCAATGTGTTATTGTTATTAAGTAGTAAGATACATATCTTACCAAAGTCATACGTAATTGTTCCTAACGAAGAAATTAGTTTCATTAATAAAGATTTTTTGTTTTCTGTGTGTAAGGTATATATAACCATAATTGTGTTTCCCTTTCAAAGTTCCCGCTGTTGGATTCTTTGTTTTCATATCGTAATATATTCTTACGGAACATTTAGTTATTAAACTTATCAATACAAAATACGACTTATAAAATATGTGGATATATGATTGAAATAATCCAAGTTTTCTTAAAATGAGAATAATAAGTAGTAAATTGGGCACACAGTTTATAGACATAATGATAATGAACGTGTACAATGTTTGTTTGTTTGTTGTTTAACGCTGCACTCAGCAATATTTCAGCTATATAAAGGCGGTCTGTAAATAATCGAGTCTCGACCCGACAATCCAGTAATTGATATCACGAGCATCGATCTATGCAATTGGGATACGATGACATGCATCAACCAAGTCAGCGATACTGACCACCCGATCTCGTTGGTCGTCTCTTACGACAAGCATAGTCGCCTGTTACGACAAGCATGGAGTGCTGAAGACCTAGTCTACCCCGGATCTTCACGGGCTGAACGTGTACATTGACGTCACATGGCAGGAGTACTGTTGTATGGCGCCAGACAATAAAAACTTTCTTTTTTGTGCAATTTGTGTGTATGGCGGGTAAAGCACAACAATCTTACCCTTTTCGCGAACTACTTGGGTCATCACTGATTTTCAGTTGTCCATTCTTATAATCTTTTGCAATTTCCGCCAAATTTTAATCGGTTTCTGCGTATAATCTAGACTGGTTATTATCCTTCACTGACAATTTAAACTTTCTGTACTGTTTGAGAATAAGAACATCCATTGTTGACTTGTTTAATTTATGGTAACGTATGCATTTCCCAAGAATAAAGGCGTGTTGTTGTCTTAATCTTCGAAACACTTCTGTACATCTGAAACACAAATGGGCCTGTTGAAATTTTCAAATTGACCACTATATAATTACAACCGCATGAATTGCTTATTCCTCTTTTTTCTCCATTTTTTACACTTCAATTGCACCTCATTGGTGAGAAGTGTCACACAGCTTTTCTATTTAAATCTTTGTAATTACTTTGGGCTAACGAATGCCATTTTAATGGAAGACAAAATATAGAACACGTCATGATTGTGTTTGACATCATAGCCGGGCAAAGAAGTATTTCTTTCGCAATTCTTTTTTCAACAAAAAACTGAACACTGAAACTTAAATTCACCATTGTACTAAACAAACAAAATGGAATAAGAAGGATTTGCGATATCATGAACATTATAGGTGATCGTCAGAACGGGCTACATAAATAAGTGCAACTGCGAAAAGCAACTGTCTTCAAGAATGCAAAACCGGAAACAAATTTAGCTTACAAACTAACAATTCGGGCTCATATGTAACATCATATGCTGAATTGTATCATATATATTATATATATAATCAATTGCGGCTCGGGGTTAGACTTTAGTTGATCGATGGTGAGAAACAGGACAATTTGTTCATGAAGCCTATGCATGTTTCCTACTCCAGGAGAAAGATGCCAGGATCATCATGGCCGGCTTTTATCGAGACAAGGCGAGGAAAGTATTTTGTCATGTGAGTATGTAGGGTAACTCTCCCCTTTTCTATACTGACCATAAAGCTGCAACATTGCGGCGTAAAACAACATCAACTAAGTCTTCACAAAATGTTCGTCATCCAACTCCAGGCATACAAAATGTTCGTCATCCAACTCCAGGCTTACAGAATGGGGTTCTACGGAAAGCAGGTCTGGATAATGTCTGGCTCACTGGCCTATGACGAGAACTGGTGGAAGGAGAAGGATGACAGTATTCCCTGTACACCTGACCAGCTGCAAAAGGTGCTGCAGGGGACCCTCATCGTCGACAACATCCACTACAACCCGAACGAGACTGAAACAGGCTTCACCGGCATGTCAGCACGGACGTACCGGCAACGCTTCGTGGAAGAGACGAAGAACCTTCCCCAGCCGGTCAGCGGTTCTGAGCGATCTCCAACAGGCTATGACAGTGTGTGGGCAGCCGCAATCATCCTCAATAAAACCATGAATAATCTCACAGACTCTGGTATGTAAAAACATTCGTATAGGAGATGTGATAATTGTAGAACTGGGCTTCTTGTCAAGCAGTCATTGTACTATTCATTGAGAAGAACTAGCTAGTAGCAGAGAAAGCGTGGCAGTGACGGTAGAATTAGGGGTGACGGTGCGGGTAGTGAATGTGGCAGTAGTAGTTGTAGTAACAGTAACACATGGTAGTAGTTGTAGTAACACATGGTAGTAGTTGTAGTAACACATGGTAGTAGTTGTAGTAACAGTAACACATGGTAGTAGTTGTAGTAACAGTAACACATGGTAGTAGTTGTAGTAACAGTAACACATGGTAGTAGTTGTAGTAACAGTAACACATGGTAGTAGTTGTAGTAACAGTAACACATAGTAGTAGTTGTAGTAACAGTAACACATGGTAGTAGTTGTAGTAACAGTAACACATGGTAGTAGTTGTAGTAACAGTAACGTATGGTAGTAGTTGTAGTAACAGTAACACATGGTAGTAGTTTTAGTAACAGTAACACATGGTAGTAGTTGTAGTAACAGTAACGCATGGTAGTAGTTGTAGTAACAGTAACACATGGTAGTAGTTGTAGTAACAGTAACACATGGTAGTAGTTGTAGTAACAGTAACGCATGGTAGTAGTTGTAGTAACAGTAACACTTGGTAGTAGTTGTAGTAACAGTAACGTATGGTAGTAGTTGTAGTAACAGTAACGTATGGTAGTAGTTGTAGTAACAGTAACACATGGTAGTAGTTTTAGTAACAGTAACACATGGTAGTAGTTGTTGTAACAGTAACGTATGGTAGTAGTTGTAGTAACAGTAACACATGGTAGTAGTTGTAGTAACACATGGTAGTAGTTGTAGTAACAGTAACACATGGTAGTAGTTGTAGTAACAGTAACACATGGTAGTAGTTGTAGTAACAGTAACACATAGTAGTAGTTGTAGTAAAAGTAACACATAGTAGTAGTTGTAGTAACAGTAACACATGGTAGTAGTTGTAGTAACAGTAACACATGGTAGTAGTTGTAGTAACAGTAACGCATGGTAGTAGTTGGAGTAACAGTAACACATGGTAGTAGTTGTAGTAACAGTAACACATAGTAGTAGTTGTAGTAACAGTAACACATGGTAGTAGTTGTAGTAACACATGGTAGTAGTTGTAGTAACAGTAACACATAGTAGTAGTTGTAGTAACAGTAACACATGGTAGTAGTTGTAGTAACACATGGTAGTAGTTGTAGTAACAGTAACACATAGTAGTAGTTGTAGTAACACATAGTAGTAGTTGTAGTAACAGTAACACATGGTAGTAGTTGTAGTAACAGTAACACATGGTAGTAGTTGTAGTAACACTTGGTAGTAGTTGTAGTAACAGTAACACATAGTAGTAGTTGTAGTAACACATGGTAGTAGTTGTAGTAACAGTAACACATGGTAGTAGTTGTAGTAACAGTAACACATGGTAGTAGTTGTAGTAACACATGGTAGTAGTTGTAGTAACAGTAACGCATGGTAGTAGTTGTAGTAACAGTAACACATGGTAGTAGTTGTAGTAACAGTAACACATGGTAGTAGTTGTAGTAACACATGGTAGTAGTTGTAGTAACAGTAACACATGGTAGTAGTTGTAGTAACAGTAACGCATGGTAGTAGTTGTAGTAACAGTAACACATAGTAGTAGTTGTAGTAACAGTAACACATAGTAGTAGTTGTAGTAACAGTAACACATGGTAGTAGTTGTAGTAACAGTAACACATGGTAGTAGTTGTAGTAACAGTAACGCATGGTAGTAGTTGTAGTAACAGTAACACATGGTAGTAGTTGTAGTAACAGTAACACATAGTAGTAGTTGTAGTAACAGTAACACATGGTAGTAGTTGTAGTAACACATGGTAGTAGTTGTAGTAACAGTAACACATAGTAGTAGTTGTAGTAACACATGGTAGTAGTTGTAGTAACAGTAACACATGGTAGTAGTTGTAGTAACAGTAACACATTGTAGTAGTTGTAGTAACACATGGTAGTAGTTGTAGTAACAGTAACACATGGTAGAAGTTGTAGTAACAGTAACACATGGTAGTAGTTGTAGTAACAGTAACACATGGTAGTAGTTGTAATAACAGTAACGCATGGTAGTAGTTGTAGTAACAGTAACGCATGGTAGTAGTTGTAGTAACAGTAACACATGGTAGTAGTTGTAGTAACAGTAACACATGGTAGTAGTTGTAGTAACAGTAACACATGGTAGTAGTTGTAGTAACAGTAACACATGGTAGTAGTTGTAGTAACAGTAACGCATGGTAGTAGTTGTAGTAACAGTAACACATGGTAGTAGTTGTAGTAACAGTAACACATGGTAGTAGTTGTAGTAACAGTAACACATGGTAGTAGTTGTAGTAACAGTAACACATGGTAGTAGTTGTAGTAACAGTAACGCATGGTAGTAGTTGTAGTAACAGTAACACATGGTAGTAGTTGTAGTAACAGTTACACATGGTAGTAGTTGTAGTAACAGTAACACATTGTAGTAGTTGTAGTAACAGTAACACATGGTAGTAGTTGTAGTAACAGTAACACATGGTAGTAGTTGTAGTAACAGTAACACATGGTAGTAGTTGTAGTAACAGTAACACATGGTAGTAGTTGTAGTAACAGTAACACATGGTAGTAGTTGTAGTAACAGTAACACATGGTAGTAGTTGTAGTAACAGTAACACATGGTAGTAGTTGTAGTAACAGTAACGCATGGTAGTAGTTGTAGTAACAGTAACACATAGTAGTAGTTGTAGTAACAGTAACACATGGTAGTAGTTGTAGTAACAGTAACACATGGTAGTAGTTGTAGTAACAGTAACACATGGTAGTAGTTGTAGTAACAGTAACACATGGTAGTAGTTGTAGTAACAGTAGCGCATGGTAGTAGTTGTAGTAACAGTAACACTTGGTAGTAGTTGTAGTAACAGTAACACATGGTAGTAGTTGTAGTAACAGTAACACATGGTAGTAGTTGTAGTAACAGTAACACATGGTAGTAGTTGTAGTAACAGTAACGCATGGTAGTAGTTGTAGTAACAGTAACACATGGTAGTAGTTTTAGTAACAGTAACGCATGGTAGTAGTTGTAGTAACAGTAACACTTGGTAGTAGTTGTAGTAACAGTAACACATGGTAGTAGTTGTAGTAACAGTAACACATGGTAGTAGTTGTAGTAACAGTAACACATGGTAGTAGTTGTAGTAACAGTAACACATGGTAGTAGTTGTAGTAACAGTAACACATGTTAGTAGTTGTAGTAACAGTAACACATGGTAGTAGTATTAATGTGTCTATACTAATCCTTCTGTGTTGTTGGCTCATTAAAGTGTGTCATCTCTAAATTCAAAAATTACCATCACCAGTCACTTTTTTTATGACCTTTTAAAAGTTTCGGCCTTTTTAAAATCCAGCATATCCGCCAAAATGGACGACGAAAAAAATGGGACCAATGGATTTGTTTTAGCTTGTGGCACAGATAATTGAATTAAATATGTGCAAGAACTACCACAACCGAAGAACGTCGGTGACATTTCGCCCTATACAAGTAGCAGCAGTGTGGTAGATACACCAGATGTAGTAGAGGTCGGACAAATTGAAGAAGTTAGTGAGTGAGTTTGGTCGCTTTTAACAGTATTTCAGTTCTATCACTGCGGGTCAGCTAAAGGTAGGAGGAAGGGCCGAAGTGATGCAGGTCTCAGACGTTTACCACTTTGGTTAAACCAAGGAGCATGGGTACGGTGCTGACAAAACTAGAAACATAATCGGGGCGAACCGGAATTCGAACCCATGATCGTAGGTAGCTGGCGTGTCAAAGGGACGCAACTCTGCACAGCGAATCGCGGCGCCTTAGGCGATTGAGTCACCCGTGTCCCCACAAGCAGGTGAAGAATGAACAGGTGAGGCTGGGGGTACACGATTCCCCGTTATAGCTCTTCAATCATCACAAATACTCTACCCACTATATCCGAGTATCAAATATATTTGTACTACTATTCTAGTTTTGAATGTCAATGTCGTCAAGTGATTGACGACGGTATTTAGTTGAAGCATTTGATCCCTAAAAGTAATGTTTGCGGCAATATCGGAACCTCCTGGGCTCCACAAGCCGATTGTAACGCTACGACTGTCTTAAGTCTGACTGTGTTAAAATATGGGAGTTACGATTGCCTAAGCGCTACTAGCCCTGTATGGAATGGGACCCTGCATCGTAAATGTATCCCGAGAGAAATGTACCTTAGCTTTACACCTGTAAGAAATAGTAGCATGAACATGTTGCTGAAACATCATCACCTATTCTTCTGTTACTGCAAGGGAGTGCTAAAACACTGGGCAGCTTCAACTACATGGATGCGGAGATGGCTGGACTGATGAAAGCTCAGATTCCGCGAGTTGACTTCACATCAGTATCTGGCCGTGTCGCGTTTGACAAGAATGGAGATGGACTGCGACTCATTGGGGTGCAGATGATTCAAGGTGAGATTACCTTGTGTACCTCGGTACAGGGTGCAGATGATTCAAGGTGAGATAATCGTGTGTACCATGTTACCGGGTGCAGATGATTCAAGGTGAGATTACCTTGTGTACCAGGGTGTAGATGATTCAAGGTGAGATTACCGTGTGTACCATGTTACTGGGTGCTGATGATTCAAGGTGAGATTACCGTGTGTTTTCCTGTGTACCAGGGAGCAGATGATATCAAGGTGAGATTATCGTGTGTACCATGTTACCGGGTGCAGATGATTCAAGGTGAGATTACCGTGTGTACCATGTTACCGGGTGCAGATGATTCAAGGTGAGATTACCGTGTGTGTTCCTGTGTACCAGGGAGCAGATGATATCAAGGTGAGATTACCGTGTGAACCATGTTACCGGGTGCAGATGATTCAAGGTGAGATTACCGTGTGTACCTGTGTACCGGGGTGTAGATGATTCAAGGTGAGGTTACCGTGTGAACCATGTTACCGGGTGCAGATGATTCACATTGAGGTTACCGTGTGTTCCTGTGTACCAGGGAGCAGATGATATCAAGGTGAGATTACCGTGTGAACCATGTTACCGGGGTGCAGCTGATTCAAGGTGAGATTACCGTGTGTACCATGTTACCGGGTGCAGATGATTCAATGTGAGATTACCGTGAGTGTTCCTGTGTACCAGGGAGCAGATGATATCAAGGTGAGATTACTGTGTGAACCATGTTACCGGGTGCAGATGATTCAAGCTGAGGTTCCCGTTTGTACCATGTTACTGGGTGCAGTGGATTCAAGGTGAGATTATCGTGTGTTCCTGTGTACCGGGATGCAGCTGATTCAAGGTGAGATTACCGTGTGTACCATGTTACCGGGTGCAGATGATTCAAGGTGAGATTACCGTGTGTGTTCCTGTGTACCAGGGAGCAGATGATATCAAGGTGAGATTATCGTGTGTACCATGTTACCGGACGCAGATAATTCAAGGTGAGATTACCGTGTGTACCATGTTACCGGGTGCAGATGATTCAAGGTGAGATTACCGTGTGTGTTCCTGTGTACCAGGGAGCAGATGATATCAAGGTGAGATTATTGTGTGAACCATGTTACTGGGTGAAGATGATTCAAGGTGAGATTACCATGTGTACCTGTGTACCGGGGTGGAGATGATTCAAGGTGAGGTTACCGTGTGTACCATGTTACTGGGTGAAGATGATTCAAGGTGAGATTACCGTGTGTACCTGTGTACCGGGGTGTAGATGATTCAAGGTGAGGTTACCGTGTGTACCATGTTACTGGGTGCAGATGATATCAAGGTGAGATTACCGTGTGTACCATGTTACCGGATGCAGATGATTCAAGGTGAGATTACCGTGAGTGTTCCTGTATACCAGGGAGCAGATGATATCAAGGTGAGATTACCGTGTGTACCATGTTACCGGGTGCAGATGATTCAAGCTGAGGTTACCGTTTGTACCATGTTACCGGGTGCAGTGGATTCAAGGTGAGATTACCAAGAGTGTTATTGTATACCAGGGAGCAGATGATATCAAGGTGAGATTACCGTGTGTACCATGTTACCGGGTGCAGATGATTCAAGGTGAGATTACCGTGAGTGTTCCTGTATACCAGGGAGCAGATGATATCAAGGTGAGATTACCGTGTGAACTATGTTACCGGGTGCAGATGATTCAAGCTGAGGTTCCCGTTTGTACCATGTTACCGGGTGCAGTGGATTCAAGGTGAGATTACCGTGTGTACCTGTGTACCGGGGTGCAGCTGATTCAAGGTGAGATTACCGTGTGAACCATGTTACCGGGTGCAGATGATTCAAGCTGAGGTTCCCGTTTGTACCATGTTACCGGGTGCAGTGGATTCAAGGTGAGATTACCGTGAGTGTTCCTGTATACCAGGGAGCAGATGATATCAAGGTGAGATTACCGTCTGTACCATGTTACCGGGTGCAGATGATTCAAGGTGAGATTACCGTGAGTGTTCCTGTATACCAGGGAGCAGATGATATCAAGGTGAGATTACCGTGTGAACCATGTTACCGGGTGCAGATGATTCAAGCTGAGGTTCCCGTTTGTACCATGTTACCGGGTGCAGTGGATTCAAGGTGAGATTACCGTGTGTACCTGTGTACCGGGGTGCAGCTGATTCAAGGTGAGATTATTGTGTGAACCATGTTACTGGGTGAAGATGATTCAAGGTGAGATTACCATGTGTACCTGTGTACCGGGGTGTAGATGATTCAATGTGAGGTTACCGTGTGTACCATGTTACTGGTTGCAGAGGATTCAAGGTGAGATTACCGTGTGTACCTGTGTACCGGGGTGTAGATGATTCAAGGTGAGATTACTGTGTGAACCATGTTACCGGGTGCAGATGATTCAAGCTGAGGTTACTGTGTGTACAATGTTACTGGGTGCAGAGGATCCAAGGTGAGATTACCTTGTTTACTTGTATAACAGGGGTGCAGATGATTCACATTGAGGTTATGGTGTGTACCAAGTTACCGGGTGCAGATGATTCAAGGTGAGATTACCATGTGTACCATTTTACCGGGGTGCAGATGATTCAAGGTGAGATAACTGTGTGTACCTGGGTACCGGGTGCAGATGATTCAAGGTGAGATTACCATGTGTACCTGGGTATTGGGGTGCAGATGATTCAAGGTGAGATTACCATGTGTACCTGGGTACTGGGGTGCAGATGATTCAAGGTGAGATTATCGTGTGTACCATGTTACCGGGTGCAGATGATTCAAGGTGAGATTTCCATGTGTACCATTTTACCGGGGTGAAGATGATTCAAGGTGAGATTACCGTGTGTACCTGGGTACCGGGTGCAGATGATTTAAGGTGAGATTACTGTGTGTACCATGTTACTGGGTGCAGATGATTCAAGGTGAGATTACCGTGTGTACCTGGGAACCGGGTGCAGATGATTCAAGGTGAGATTACTGTGTGTACCATGTTACTGGGTGCAGATGATTCAAGGTGAGATTACCGTGTGTACCTGGGTACCGGGTGCAGATGATTCAAGGTGAGATTACCGTGTGTACCTGGGTACGTATATACCGGGGTGCAGATGATGTTACCGTGCCTACCGTGAGGTTACCGTGGTTACCGTGGGAATGATTCAGGGATGGGGGTTTCTGGGATAGAAAGCGTATCCATGTTCGCTGTGCTTGTCATCGGTGCCAACTTCGGATGGTTCCAGTTATGTCATCATATATTGACAAACACACAAACCCCACCCGCACATCACCCCCACCCCCTTTGTACCCCACCAACACATTACCCCACCCACACCAACACGAACCACACCCGCACATCCCCCCCACCCCCACCCCTTGTACCCTACCAACACATAATCCCACCCACACCCACAGGAACCACACCCGCACATCGACCCCACACCTTGTACCCTACCAACACATAATTCCACCCACACCCACACGAACCACACCCGCACATCGACCCCACCCCTTGTACCCTACTAACACATAAACCCACCCACAGCCACACCCGCACATCGCCCCAATCCCCCTGGGATTGTGTTCAAGGGTTGCACCAACGTTGTAAACGTCCGAGCACTGTGTTCAAGGGTTGCACCAACGTTGTAAACGTCCAAGCACTGTGTTCAAGGGTTGCACCAACGTTGTAAACGTCCAAGCACTATGTTCAAGGGTTGCACCAACGTTGTAAACGCCCAAGCACTGTGTTCAAGGGTTGCACCAACGTTGTTAACGTCCAAGCACTGTGTTCAAGGGTTGCACCAACGTTGTAAACGCCCAAGCACTGTGTTCAAGGGTTGCACCAACGGTGTAAACGTCCAAGCACTGTGTTCAAGGGTTGCATCAACGTTGTAAACGTCCAAGCACTGTGTTCAAGGGTTGCACCAACGTTGTAAACGTCCAAGCACTATGTTCAAGGGTTGCACCAACGTTGTAAACGCCCAAGCACTGTGTTCAAGGGTTGCACCAACGTTGTTAACGTCCAAGCACTGTGTTCAAGGGTTGCATCAACGTTGTAAACGCCCAAGCACTGTGTTCAAGGGTTGCACCAACGTTGTAAACGCCCAAGCACTGTGTTCAAGGGTTGCACCAACGTTGTTAACGTCCAAGCACTGTGTTCAAGGGTTGCACCAACGTTGTAAACGTCCAAGCACTGTGTTCAAGGGTTGCACCAACGTTGTAAACGTCCAAGCACTGTGTTCAAGGGTTGCACCAACGTTGTAAACGCCCAAGCACTGTGTTCAAGGGTTGCACCAACGTTGTAAACGTCCAAGCACTGTGTCATTTCGGGCTTTAATCAAATATTAAGCTGACATGCCATGGTATAACTGGAAGACTGTTCACAACGGCTTCAAAACAATCTCACTCACTCACTCTTTGTATTTCAGGGGCCGGACTGAGGACAGTGGGGCTTTTTGATCGCACCTTGCCAGAAGGAGAACAGCTGAGAATTGATGATATTTGGGAAGGTATATGGACACAGCGCTCATCTATTTTGTATTTCTTTGTTGGGTGCCTGTCTTGAACAAAGGTTTGTATTCATAGATATACAAGAGATTGTTTAGCATGGCCTTAATGCAATAATGACAGTGATGGCGGAGGATGATGTCGACGGCTGCTACAGGAGCAATGATGTGTAGCCGCCGGGATACTGGTGACAATGACGAGAGTAATACCTTGGTCAGTGACGATGATGATATCCACTGCAATGGCGGTAATGATAACGAGTGATGATAGGGCGATGAAGATAATGATGACCACTTTAATGACGGTTTTGGTATCAATAATAACGATGGTGAGGTGAAATGGGGTTTAAGAGAGTGTAGTACCCATGTCAAACTGCTGCATGATATTCCAACTGGCTAGCACAATGACACAAGCAATCCGGAATAATCACGATTTTGTAGTGAACATTTGACTTTCTGTCTTGGGCCTGTTTTTTAGTGCTAGCCCACTGACATACCATGCCCCATTTTAACATGAATACCCCACTCAGACCGTTATATTGACTCCGAGCCGAACAGTCCTTGTTTTATCCCCTTATGCCGAGCGCCAGGCAGGGTAACAACAAGTACCATCTTTTAACGTCTTTTGGAATAAGGAATAATGATAGTAATGATTACCTTCGACGAAAACATGTCAATGAGAATAGGGATGTCATTGAACTCTCATACGTCAATGACGGTAACCATAACCTCATCAGTGACGGAAATGATAACCCCAACAGTGATGGTAATGCTAACCTCCAACAGTGACGGTAATGATAACCCCAACAGTGATGGTAATGCTAACCCCAACAGTGATGGTAATGCTAACCTCCAACAGTGACGGTAATGATAACCCCAACAGTGATGGTAATGATAACCTCCAACAGTGATGGTAATGATAATCTCCAACAGTGATGGTAATGATAACCCCAACAGTGATGGTAATGATAACCCCAACAGTGATGGTAATGATAACCCCAACTGTGATGGTAATGATAACCCCAACAGTGATGGTAATGATAACCCCAACTGTGATGGTAATGCTAACCCCAACTGTGATGGTAATGATAACCCCAACTGTGATGGTAATGATAACCCCAACTGTGATGGTAATGCTAACCTCCAACAGTGATGGCAATGATAACCCCAACTGTGATGGTAATGATAACCCCAACAGTGATGGTAATGATAACCCCAACTGTGATGGTAATGATAACCCCAACTGTGATGGTAATGATAACCCCAACTATGATGGTAATGATAACCCCAACAGTGATGGTAATGATAACCCCAACTGTGATGGTAATGATAACCCCAACAGTGATGGTAATGCTAACCTCCAACAGTGATGGTAATGATAACCCCAACTGTGATGGTAATGATAACCCCAACTGTGATGGTAATGATAACCCCAACTGTGATGGTAATGATAACCCCAACTGTGATGGTAATGATAACCCCAACAGTGATGGTAATGATAACCCCAACTGTGATGGTAATGATAACCCCAACTGTGATGGTAATGATAACCCCAACAGTGATGGTAATGATAACCCCAACTGTGATGGTAATGATAACCCCAACAGTGATGGTAATGCTAACCTCCAACAGTGATGGTAATGATAACCCCAACTGTGATGGTAATGATAACCCCAACTGTGATGGTAATGATAACCCCAACTGTGATGGTAATGCTAACCTCCAACAGTGATGGCAATGATAACCCCAACTGTGATGGTAATGATAACCCCAACAGTGATGGTAATGATAACCCCAACTGTGATGGTAATGATAACCCCAACTGTGATGGTAATGATAACCCCAACTATGATGGTAATGATAACCCCAACAGTGATGGTAATGATAACCCCAACTGTGATGGTAATGATAACCCCAACAGTGATGGTAATGCTAACCTCCAACAGTGATGGTAATGATAACCCCAACTGTGATGGTAATGATAACCCCAACTGTGATGGTAATGATAACCCCAACTGTGATGGTAATGATAACCCCAACTGTGATGGTAATGATAACCCCAACAGTGATGGTAATGATAACCCCAACTGTGATGGTAATGATAACCCCAACTGTGATGGTAATGATAACCCCAACAGTGATGGTAATGATAACCCCAACTGTGATGGTAATGATAACCCCAACAGTGATGGTAATGCTAACCTCCAACAGTGATGGTAATGATAACCCCAACTGTGATGGTAATGCTAACCTCCAACAGTGATGGTAATGATAACCCCAACTGTGATGGTAATGATAACCCCAACAGTGATGGTAATGATAACCCCAACTGTGATGGTAATGCTAACCCCAACTGTGATGGTAATGATAACCCCAACTGTGATGGTAATGATAACCCCAACTGTGATGGTAATGCTAACCTCCAACAGTGATGGTAATGATAACCCCAACTGTGATGGTAATGATAACCCCAACAGTGATGGTAATGATAACCCCAACTGTGATGGTAATGATAACCCCAACTGTGATGGTAATGATAACCCCAACTATGATGGTAATGATAACCCCAACAGTGATGGTAATGATAACCCCAACTGTGATGGTAATGATAACCCCAACAGTGATGGTAATGCTAACCTCCAACAGTGATGGTAATGATAACCCCAACTGTGATGGTAATGATAACCCCAACTGTGATGGTAATGATAACCCCAACTGTGATGGTAATGATAACCCCAACTATGATGGTAATGATAACCTCCAACAGTGATGGTAATGATAACCCCAACTGTGATGGTAATGATAACCCCAACTGTGATGGTAATGATAACCCCAACAGTGATGGTAATGATAACCCCAACTGTGATGGTAATGATAACCCCAACTGTGATGGTAATGATAACCCCAACTGTGATGGTAATGATAACCCCAACTGTGATGGTAATGATAACCTCCAACAGTGATGGTAATGATAACCCCAACTGTGATGGTAATGATAACCCCAACTGTGATGGTAATGATAACCCCAACTGTGATGGTAATGATAACCCCAACTGTGATGGTAATGATAACCCCAACAGTGATGGTAATGATAACCCCAACAGTGATGGTAATGCTAACCTCCAACAGTGATGGTAATGATAACCCCAACAGTGATGGTAATGATAACCCCAACAGTGATGGTAATGATAACCCCAACAGTGATGGTAATGATAACCCCAACTGTGATGGTAATGATAACCCCAACAGTGATGGTAATGATAACCCCAACTGTGATGGTAATGATAACCCCAACAGTGATGGTAATGCTAACCTCCAACAGTGATGGTAATGATAACCCCAACTGTGATGGTAATGATAACCCCAACAGTGATGGTAATGATAACCCCAACTGTGATGGTAATGATAACCCCAACAGTGATGGTAATGATAACCCCAACTGTGATGGTAATGATAACCCCAACAGTGATGGTAATGATAACCCCAACAGTGATGGTAATGCTAACCTCCAACAGTGATGGTAATGATAACCCCAACTGTGATGGTAATGATAACCCCAACAGTGATGGTAATGATAAGCCCAACAGTGATGGTAATGATAACCTCATCAGTATTGAAGTGCTCAATGTAATACGTCATTCCCCCCACTCATTTGTCATACACACGGCGGAACAAACCGATTAAGCTCGGAATGTTTTACAAATGGCAGCACCATCTGGCGTTCTATATTATCAACATGGACCTTTAGCAGTGTAGTGTCCTTTTGGTGCACTGACGTTCTATATTATCAACATGGACCTTTAGCAGTGTAGTGTCCTTTTGGTGCACTGACGTTCTATATTATCAACATGGACCTTTAGCAGTGTAGTCTCCTTTTGGTGCACTGACGTTCTATATTATCAACATGGACCTTTAGCAGTGTAGTGTCCTTTTGGTGCACTGACGTTCTATATTATCAACATGGACCTTTAGCAGTGTAGTGTCCTTTTGGTGCACTGACGTTCTATATTATCAACATGGACCTTTAGCAGTGTAGTCTCCTTTTGGTGCACTGACGTTCTATATTATCAACATGGACCTTTAGCAGTGTAGTGTCCTTTTGGTGCACTGACGTTCTATATTATCAACATGGACCTTTAGCAGTGTAGTGTCCTTTTGGTGCACTGACGTTCTATATTATCAACATGGACCTTTAGCAGTGTAGTGTCCTTTTGGTGCACTGACGTTCTATATTATCAACATGGACCTTTAGCAGTGTAGTCTCCTTTTGGTGCACTGGCGTTCTATATTATCAACATGGACCTTTAGCAGTGTAGTGTCCTTTTGGTGCACTGACGTTCTATATTATCAACATGGACCTTTAGCAGTGTAGTGTCCTTTTGGTGCACTGACGTTCTATATTATCAACATGGACCTTTAGCAGTGTAGTGTCCTTTTGGTGCACTGACGTTCTATATTATCAACATGGACCTTTAGCAGTGTAGTGTCCTTTTGGTGCACTGACGTTCTATATTATCAACATGGACCTTTAGCAGTGTAGTGTCCTTTTGGTGCACTGACGTTCTATATTATCAACATGGACCTTTAGCAGTGTAGTGTCCTTTTGGTGCACTGACGTTCGATATTATCAACATGGACCTTTAGCAGTGTAGTGTCCTTTTGGTGCACTGACGTTCTATATTATCAACATGGACCTTTAGCAGTGTAGTCTCCTTTTGGTGCACTGACGTTCTATATTATCAACATGGACCTTTAGCAGTGTAGTGTCCTTTTGGTGCACTGACGTTCTATATTATCAACATGGACCTTTAGCAGTGTAGTGTCCTTTTGGTGCACTGACGTTCTATATTATCAACATGGACCTTTAGCAGTGTAGTGTCCTTTTGGGGCACTGGCGTTCTATATTATCAACATGGACCTTTAGCAGTGTAGTGTCCTTTTGGTGCACTGGCGTTCTATATTATCAACATGGACCTTTAGCAGTGTAGTGTCCTTTTGGTGCA